TTTTTTTTTTCTACCAAGTTCACCTGTTTTTTTTTTTTCTACCATGGTTAACAATTTTTTTCCCCAACATTTCAATTTTTTTTTCTACCATGTCATCCATAAATTTTTTTCCAACATTAAAAAGAAATTATTTTTCTACCGCAATATTTTTTTTCTACCTTAAACATCACCGTAATAATAATTTTTCTACCTAAAACATCACCAATTTTTTTTTCAGGGGGAATAACAACGCGGAATATTCAACGCCGACGTGAATAACAACCTTACTGTACTTACGCTTATCCTTAGTCAGCAGCTTCAAATAGGATTCAATGTCGCCCGCTCTGGCCCCAGGAAAACATTTGACTATGGCCGCCGGTGTCTCTAGCTTCACGTTTCTGACTATGGAGTCTCCAATTACCAGAGTTGTTTTCTCAGCGGGTGTGTCGCTGAGTGGGGAAAATCGATTTGAAACGTGAACAGGCAGGTGATGCTCCGTGGGCATTCGTTTGGAGCTACCTGTCTGAGATCTCGGCTACTCGGGAAGCTCTGGGAGACGGCTAGCTTCGGCTAAGCTACGTCTAGGAGGCTCCGCACCGGCTACATGGGCCTGGCCAGCTGGGCTGTTCTCCATGGTGCGGTGAGCCTCAACTCCAATGCTGTAAGCATCTGACATTTATTACAAGTACCATTATCGCTTAAAAAAAAAAGGCAGAGGAATAACTGAACATGCGACACTCCGAGCAACAGAAGGAAGGAGAGGAAGAGGGGGAAGCCAATGCTCTCAACTAAGCTAATAGCATCGCTAGCTTCTAAGCTAGCCGACCTGAAGTAGCAAGTTAAATTTGATAATTGGCAAGAACTTCTGTAACACACATGCTAAGTAGTGCAGGCGTTTGTCGTCACTCAAAAAAATTCAGACAGACCTGGAAAATAGTGAGCTTAATCCCTAAACAATCTGGCAGCAAGCACAACACGGTGAAGGCACAGGAAACAGGAAGTGAGTACGGTTACCACAGGAACAGGAAACAGCAAAGGTTCCGGGAATCCCAGAGCAACAGCAAAATACCAACAAGAGTTATGAAAGACAACAAACTCTGTGTAGGAGGAGTACAAATGCACAACTTTCCTGGTTTCTAATCAGGTAGAACTCAAGGAAGGTGACATGAGGCGATAATTATTGCTGTTTAAGGTTATTTATGGTGAATTCTCAGGCGTATTTTGTTCAATGTCTCACAGAACTAAGAAAAAAACAAACCAAAATTGTCACACTTTTTGTAGTGTTTGACCAAACTCAGTGCTGTTTTCCAATATTTCTGTTCTCAGATACCCGAGACACTTTAATTGAAACATTTTATCAAAGTCCAAAACATGGAGTAACTTCAAGACTCCGGCTTCTGTCTAAAGTGTAAATAAAAACCTAGGAGAGTGTTTGTGTCTCACCAGTAGTAGGACAGCATGAGGATGTAGGGAACGGTGATGGCGACCTGTAGCCAGCGCCAGTCGGTGATGAAGTAGGCGAGCAGAGGCAGGAGGAGGAGGCCGACACTGAAACACATCTCATACAATACTCCCACAGTACGTCTGAACTCCAAGCCCTCGATCTCTGTGACTGAGAGAGAAGACAAAGAAAGTTGACTGACGTTAACTGAAGCTTAGGACATACTGGAAGAGACGGAAGAAAGAAAAGAGGCATTGCTTTTAATTTGTTGAAGTCACAAGAGAAATGACAAGAAAAGAAATCTACAACTGACCGAGTACGTATCCAACCATCCAGCCTCCTTTCACTCCAAACCCGTAGAGTGCTCTGAACACCAGTAAGGACACGTAATCTGGAGCCACAGCCACCAGGATCCCTGTGATCCCATTCAGCAGGTTGGACATCATGAGGCTCATTTTCCTGCCAAACCTGGAGGCAGAGACACAGACAAGGCAGACATTTGTCACTTATTGTAACAATATATGTTTTGTAACAGCAATGTTTCAATGCCAAATAAAATTATCGCATGTTCTGCAAAATGTACTTTGTTGTTATAAACCAATAAAACAACAGTGAACAAGCAGAGTAACCAATCAATCACAGACTTACCTGTCGGACAGGTAACCAGTAGCAATGCTCCCGAACAGGAAGCCCATATTTAGAGTGGACTGATACATGTCCACCAACCACCCATCTGAACACACCATGTCAAACTGGGACAACACACACAAACAATTACCCATCCATTTGTTTGGCCTGATCATCTTTAAAACGACAGAAACAACTGTTTACATTTGACTTTTCAAAGTCTTTCACTTTATGAGAATCTTACAGTCACTTCAGGAAGAATTCATAATAGTTTGTTTTATTTACTTCAGCCGACCCCCCCATCCCATCTTGTTACTTACCTCAGTAACAAAGGACTGTCTTCCCTCATAGTCGTACTCCCAGCCATCTTTGCAGGCAGTTGTGGAGGTTTTGTTGAGATCCAGTTCCTGTGTGTCACAGCTGAGGGTTGTGCTGTTCCAGTCCACCTCGTACTGCTCACAGCTGCTCGGCTGCAGAGCTCCAGAGCTGTTGACCCGAGGCACCGTCAGCCTGCGACCATCAGCAAGGCTCCAGCCGCACGCTTGCCTCCTCTCCACCACAGCTGAGTCCCGACACCAGTGATCTGGGGTGAAACCCTGGAAGACGATGCCAACATACACACCTGCAAAAGGTAGTGACAACACACAGAACAGGGCGAAGATGCGCTTCTGATAGCGACCGAACTTTCCAGTTTCTTCCAAGATGTCATCAAAAGTGGTCATTGTTGCAGTGCAGTTTGAATCACTGTGTTTTAATGTGTGCAGGCTTGCAAGCAAGTATAATAAGCCTCCCTCCACAGTGACCAATAACGTGTCTGCCCCTGCTTGTCCAGTTAAAAACCCAAAGGACAAAGGTCCAACGACAAACACTGTCCTCTATGGGCAGGGCAGTGGAGCATTAAAACTTGATGTGGGACTGTTTTTGCACCTGACAGAAAGTCTTCGTCATCTGCATAGGTGATCCAAGGTGAAACCCTGGAAGACGATGCTGACTAACACCAGCAAAAGACAGCGGCAACACCAAGACCAGGACGAAAATGCACTTCTGATAACAGCCAAAAGTCCAAACCTCCTCCAGGTTGTCATCAAAGGTTGCTGCTATTACTGTAACCCGGGTTTTTGATGTTTAAAGGTATCAAAATAAGTCAGATGGTGTACTGGTCAGCACACCACAGATGAATGCTGTATCCTACTCAAAAGACAAGCTGCATGAACCACACCGGCAAAAGGCAGCAACAGCACACAGAGCAGGGCGAAGATATACTTCTGACAGCAGCTGACCTTCCCAGTTTCTTCCAAGATGTCATCATAAGTGGTCATTGTTGCAATGTAGTTTGAAGCACAGTATTTAAATGTGTGTTGGACCAGTTCGACGAGTTAAAAAAAAAATACTGGCCATGTGTGTTTTTGCCAAAAGGTGAGGAAGGTAAATAATCTCTTAAGCGAATCTTCTTTTTCTCTAAGGAAGAGGCAGCCCTGCTTCTCCCTGTACTTCTACATCAGCAGGTGGTAACTTGTGATCCAGTGCAATTGCAACATTTTGCAATTCTACCACATCTGAAGTTAATGAAAGTCCAAAAGGGTGGGGGGTTTGATACAGTACTCATCCTACGCCGTCTGATTCAAAGTCTTTGCAGTTGCATCAACAAAGCAGGCAGCATGAGTCAACCAGCTGGCTGGCTGTCCACCCCCTCCTCAAATAAATGGATCATTTTGACAAATGCAGGAGGTAACTATCAGTGCAATATGAAAAGAAAAGCAAAATCCTGCCTTCCTTTTTTCTCCAGAAAGTAAAAAGCAAAGAGCACCAAGGAAACACTATCATTTTTATACGATATGATTGGTTTCATATGAACTATGGAACAATAGCTAATGTTTAGAAATTTAAATCTTTAAGGCAAGCCCAAGTCAAGTTTTTTTAAGATGAGTCCACTTAAGTACAAGTGCAAATCAAGCATCATCTCCATTGAGAAAAGTAAAGGACAAGACAAGTCCAAGTCAATTCTCAGATGACTTGAGACAACTCCAAGTTACGCTTCAGATGACTTGAGACAACTCCAAGTTACACTTCAGTCCAAGAGATGTCTCCAGTTCTTCTAGACGAGTCAGAATCAAGTCTCAAGTCTTACTGCACACGTCCAAGTTAAGGCTCTAGCTGAGACCAGGTCAACTCAAATCCTTGAGAAGAATCCAAGTTTAGAGCCTGTAATGGAAGATTGCTCAAAACATGTATTCTTGCATATTCTTTCACAATATCATAATGACATGGTTAGAGGAGTATTATACTAATACAATTCCCACTGTAGGATAGTTAATTCCTGGGTTGGAGGCTGTATGTTTTTAAAAAGGAGGTGGTTTCTGTCTTGCTAAGAGAGTAATACTCCGAACAGGAGGAGGTGTGAGCAGTTAACACACATTTGTATTCAGAAGTTTAAGTAACATTTAACATTTACACAGACTATAAAAACAGCATGTAGAATAAATACAGTATATGCTTCGTATTATATTTTAATGTGTATTTTTTTCCACTCGATATTGTGTGTTTGTTCATAGTTAGAAAAGTGTGTCCTTGATGAAGTGATTTAAGCTGGTACCAGACAGGGACAGATACTGTAGGTCGTTATGAATTTTGGGGGTTTTCTGTCCATGCTACAAGAACATCTAGTTAAAAAGTGTTGGAGTAGAAAGTTGAGAAACACATACATACATCATGACCATGGCACTTTGAATCACACACACACACAACACATCTTTTGCAACACATACACACACGGGGTGAGAAAAAAGTAGATGAGGTTGGTAACAGAAACATAAAGACAGAAATGGGTCCACGCATGGTAATGAGTGGACAACTGATGACGACAGGGTGTCAACATAATCTGTATAAAAGAATTGTAATTGTGCAATTTTCTTCAGTTGTGTGGACGAACCAACTCCAAATCTGAAATATAAAACCCTTCTCTCTGGGCAGTTTCTAACAAAAGTCCCTCATAAATCCATGGTAGGGCTCAGTTCATATATCAAGTCCTGAGACATGTCCAAACCAGCCACTGTCCCTCAAGTTCAATTAAGTCTCAAGACATCACAGAATTTGAATATTTTGCTTAGAGTTCTGAAAGAAAAAAAAAACAAAAAACAGATGGATGAAAACCTCTTCCAAGAGGTTTTCATCCTCTTGGATGAGAGGTAACTAAAAACCTAGTCCAGTTGATTTTTCCGAAGTTTTTTCAGATTACTATGACCTGGATGACTGAGAATCTGCACGGACAGTTCTGTAAAGAGTGTTTTTAAGACATCAACAGAGAAAAGACATTGAAATGTGATATCCAGTATGAAGTATTACATTTTCTGTTATTAGTCACAGTAAACCACAACAGCAATAAACAGCAGATCTTTTATTTATTCAAATAATGCTTTTTTTTTTTACACCAATGCTTTTTTTAAATAGCAAAACAGGCAAAGAGCTGAAAAACATAAAAACATATTAGACAACATAACTTACATCAACTAAGACAAAACGATCTCTCATAGTATCAAATCCTCATGAAGAATTTCCTGTGCATTTTAGTCAATGTAGTCTGTTTTCCGCTTCTGAAGCTAAATCTGACCTCAATCGCAGACTAGTGTCACAAAATGGTTCTCTGCTCAAGTATGGAAGAAAGAAAAAAAAAGCAAAAGAACATTCATTCATATCTTCTTAGGAGCGAGAAGGTTCAGTACAGTACCATGCAGATGAGCCACGCAAACTTTGGCGCCAAACACAGAAGAAACAGACTTTGTGCAATGGTGTTCTTTGAGTGTGTGACCAGGTGTCATGTAATCCAACTACATGAAATACTAATTAGCATTTGCTGATAAGGAGACTGACAATCTCAAGGACTGGATGTCGTCATAGATTAATCACTTTTTTGATTGGTTAAATGAAGAAAAATCTCTGTGTGAGGTGGCGTCTTCAAACCGCCTAACAGCAATCGACAACCCAACAACATTAAATTTAAAATGATAAAAAATACAAAAACAAAAGAAAAGCCCCCAGTCCTCACATCTGAGGAGACCGACTCGCTGCCGAGTCATCAATCAACTAATCTCTGAAATGACATAACAGTTCCCTAAACAGTAAATATTCTCAACACCCACTTGACAACTTTTTTACAGCGCTGTTGACTGCGTCTTCCACACAGAGGCTGCTCAGTAGTCAATGTTCAGAAAAGCCAGTAAGTGGCCCTCAAGTTAATTTTTACTTTTCAAGCCACCAGTTGCCTGATTGAGAGAATTTTTCCTTCCATCTTTGGTTGACAACCGATATATTGGAACTAATTTATCAAACACAGATGTCAAACGCCAACGTGAGGAGGATCTGCTGCTTTTCTTTTGGGCTTTTTAGACTGAAGATGTCCCCTTGGTGGTTTTCATCATCTTCCAACATTTAGTCTAAACAGCTAATCTATATATGAATTCATAATGAAAATAAGTGTAAACTGCAGCTTTTGGAAAAAGATTTAATCTGTTCTTAACTGCTATGCACACCAGAAAAGATAAAATACTGCAGAGAGCACAGTCAAGTCCATCATGTTTAGTAGGAACTAAATTCATTTCCACTCTGCTCAGTGTCCCACAACAGTTCGCTATTTGGTTGAACTCACCAAGTCTGTGTAGACAAAAAGACACTGTCTCGAAAACATTTACAAGTGGCACGGCACCCAAATACTGTGGCATATACTGTGTAGGTGTATCACTGATGTGGGAACGCTGCAGCCAGTTTGACTGAAGCACAGTGAAGCACAGTGAATCTCGCCTGGGTCTTGCATCATTACTGCCATCCTCTGTGAAAACACTAGTTTGATTATTAGCTGAAAATATGTTAAAGATAAGTCAAGTACCTGCATTCTTGATACATTTATGCTTCACTTTTGTCTTATCATTACATGCATTTGGCTAAAAAGGGCTAATTACTGCACCACAAAAACTTGGCTTGACTGAGTTAAAATGTCACCTCCAACATCCACAGTTACGGCCCCGAATACCAAAACTGAGCCTTTAATGTACAAGAGTGTGAGCGTAAACTATCCCCAACTTCCACTGATTAGTGCCGGGGTGGCTGAGCAAATATGGCTTTGGCAGGAGACTGACTTCAGAACCAGCACAACCTAAACTAACAAGTTTCGGTTTCAACCTCCGTCCTTGTTGACTGTCCATTCACACTTAAGGCCGCCTCTGTTTATGCACAAAACAAATACTGTATATGTACAGATAATTGGCTCCGACAACCATTTAAATAATCAAAAAACAAATATGTGAGCAATTCACCGGTGAAAACGACAACAGACAAACAAAACATCCATATTATAGAACATCATCATCTATATACAGTGTCTCTGATTAAAACAAGACAAAAATCAATATGTCGCCCGACATGATTCATCATGAAAATACAAAGTAAATTCATAATCAAAGGCATCACGTTTTCTTCTCGAGGGGAACGAAAGAGAAACATTTCATTATTAGCAACTGTAAGCAGCAAGAAAAAACAAACTGCTGTCGTCATTCCCTTTAGAAACAACACAAGGAGACACCTTCACTGTCTACGTCCAAGGAACTCGCCCAAAATCAGCTTAATAGTTTCACTACTGAGCTACTTAACTGTACATTTCACCACAGTTATGGTATACAGTCCTAATAGGCCAATAGACATAAAAAAATCTACATCAACCTCCAAAGGAGCTTGTAAAGGTCAAGTTGCCTGGTTTGCAAAGAAACATGCAAACAGTATTATTCTGTTAATCCGTGCTCCCATAAAGTGCTAAACGATGGCACAGCTCCACCAGAAGAAAAGAAAGACTTCATGTAATTTTCACCTTTTCATTCACAAGCCTCACTGCAGAGTCGACACACAGAGAGAAGCTGTGTGTGCTTGAGGCCGATTTCTAGTCTCTACAGGCCTGTTAGGACTTTATTAGATAAACGTGGCATGACTGAAGTAGCAATAGTGAAGTCAGATATTTCAATCAGGAATAATGAAAAAGAACACTTTAAATAATCATCTATCAATAAATAAGAAACTATATGCTCACACCGACAGCCTGTGGACAGTCTGAGGAGGCCAAGTAAAGGTGCAGTCCCCAAAAAAAAAAAAAAAAAAAAAAAAATTTCCCCCAAAAAAGGAAAGGTTTCTGCTTTCAATATGCTGTCGTTGCTATTATGGAGACATTCACTGAGAGAGAAGAGTTCAGATTGGATAGTGGGATGGGGAGGAGAAAGTGACATCACACCCTGAGAAGGTCCTCGTCACTGTCGTCCTCGTCCCCCTTCCTATTGGCTGCCATGCTGTTACCATGGTTAAGGTCTGAGGAGCGAGGTTTGCTGCTCCTGCTCTTCCTGTCCGACTCATCCAGGAGGCCGACCAGGTCCTCGTCGCTCTCCTCCTGCAATGAGAAGTTCCTGTGAGGGTTTGCACTCAGGCAGAGGTAGTGCTCAGTATCAGCTAAAAATAATCCAGATCAAGAACTTTATTTATTGTACTCTACTGTTATTTATCCACCTCGGCCTCCTGTTGGAGCTGCTCTGCTGTATGTTATGTCCAATAGCTCAGTGGAGCCGAACAGACCCGAGCATACGCGGCATCAGGTGCATTTGTGTTTTGTTTGTGTGTGCAACTTACCAACAGGCCAAAAAAAAAAATTGGATGGTTAGTGTGTTTTCTGCAGCCTGGTGTCTGTAACTCAGCCACAGACCATCTGTGAGACAAGAAGCTCCACTGTGTGAATGCAAGGGTTTCTGTAGGTCTCACGAGTCCAACACAGTGATACCTCGGCTTTCTAGCTGATCATGTCACCTTCATTTTAGGAATCGCATTTTTCCAGGTAAACTTTCATTTGTGTCATATCAATAATTTACAACTTTATAATAGGTGGTTTGCTTATGATGTCACATCACTGTGTTGCTGCAGCGTGAACTGCAGACAGACGGCAGGAAGTGAGTTTCTACATAGCCAGTACTAGCACAAGCTCTCAAAATGCCTAAAGATCATTTATGTGTGGTTTACGGTTGATCAAATCAATCACACTGACAAAGCTGAAGTTGTTCATGAGGCGCTGGACAGAGCAACACCCAGCCTGATGTTGAGATGACACTCACCTGTAGCAAGGCACTGCGAAGGGCTGCAGCGTGCCCGGAGACACCAGAGGATTTGACTACCCGCACCCCTGGGACGCTCAGGACCTCATCCTCGCTGTCGTCTTCCTGCTCATCCACTGAGAACGAGCGCAGGCCGTCCGTATTCACCGGCTTGGTTGTGATATGACCATTGCCATGGTTACTCTTGCCCCGGTGGGAGGATGCAGAAGATGATGGAGGGGCTTCGAGCTCCTCCATCAGCCACTCCATCTCCTCTTCACCCCCTTCTTCGTTCATGCTGACCTGAAGATTTAAAGACAAGTTAGTACAAACACGGAGTGGAACCCCTGTTTACAAGGTTTGGAGCCCTCTTCACTCAGAATGTACAGTACTAGTACAGGCTTCTGTTGCTGGTGCTGCGCTCTGTGATCACCTATGTTGTATTTTAATGAATTCACAATATAGTTGCATGTGATGACAGCTCAAACAGAACCCGATGTGAAAAATGGTCAGCGGTGTCCTGTAGAAGAAATTATATTATTACTGCACATAGTCTGACAAAAAGAACAATAATACAGGTCAATGACGGCAGCGTGCTGTGAAATCGACTATACTGACATTCAAAATGAGCGATGGCAGAGAAAGTTAGAGGCACAAAGCATTGTTCATATTCCAGTTTAGCCACAGAGAATCTAAAAGAGCAGCAAACATGTACTGTGTAAAATAAAATTAAAAAAAAGTCTGCAAAAACCCCTCTATACCAGAGATGTGGCCGCTCTGCTTCAGAAACATTTTGTAACGCCAAAAGCCACTTCATCTCCCTGACTGTGTCTAGTTTGCAGCAACTTTGGGTTTCATCCATTCAGCAACCAACCTTGGAATATTTATAGGAGACCTGGTTTCCTCTCCTACAACAACCAGCAACTTTCTGCATCACCAGCTCCCTGAAACAAGGCAAGAGGCAGACATTCAGACAGATTCTAAAGTTGAGTCAGCAACTAAACAGACATGACCCACAGGATGCTTGTGGCCTCACCTCCGCTCTCTCTTGTGGAGTAAAAGCCCCAGCAGACAGACAGACAGACCCACCATCAGGAGGTTCAGCACCACCCCCACCAGCCAGCTCCGTCTAGAAAGAGCCGGACTTTCGCCGTCATACGCCGTATCCAGAGTTCTGCAAAGCAATTTAGGAAGCAGGCTTACCATCGTTTCATATTCTAAATTCCACATGTTTAATGTCCAGTGCCAGAGTCTTTACTCACGTCAAACCACAGACAGCGTCCGTGTGCCACACAAACAGATACTGGCATTCGTCCGTCTCCAGCATAAATTCGGGGTTGCCAACGCCTGCCGACGGCTTACAGTGGAACATGATCGTGGATGACACCATCTTGGTTTTCTCCCGCCCACACTCCGATTCAGAGGACACCATCACATCCAGGTTTCCTCCTGATGGTAATCAGAGGGTTATTTGAATGCCAGAATCAAGAGTTGCATGATGAGCACAGTCAGAAGACAGCAGAGAGTCTGCATGATACCATGCTAAAAGGTTGACACCTGGGTTCTGTGCATTACTGAGCTGAGTAACATGCTAGCTCAACCGCTAGCATAATAAAATGCTACACATGCTAAATATGGCAGCAACCTTGTGGCACTATTTAGCAGGACGGACTATGATTGTTTGTTTTTACAGATACTAGGTCATGGACCACAGTGCTGCACATTTCATTTAGTGCCGCCAGCAGGTTGAAAAGTTCATAGGATTTATCTGAAAGTCTGTGCCAAATTTCATGCAATCCATCCAACAGTTATGGAGAAATGGATCTAACTGTGACAAACCAAACAAAAAAAAAAAAGATTTTCACACCAACAACTGTTGAAATATTTAGTCAGAATTAGAAAGAACTACTAAACTCTGCAATACAGTAAATTACCTTTGATGTAGTACTTTGTTTTGCTGGAGAAGCCAATCTTGCGTATGTAGGTTCCATTGAGTTTGACCTGGCAGATGTTGGCACCAAAACACATGGGCAGGGAGTTGTTGGTGATGCCAGACAACCGGATGTGGTAGACGTAGTGGTCTCCATTAGGACGATTGTCTCCAGATGCCCGATGGTGACTAAGAAGAGAATGAGGTTTTTAGAGCAGCTCACCTATTTGAGGTGCTTTTTCCTCTGTTAAACTAAAATTGACAGTGTATTTATATGTGGCTTGCAGAGTGTACAGGAGCAGGACAACGACACAGGTGGAGGTGTGTGCTTGTGTTACCCAAAGTAGAGCGCTCCCAGGCTGAAGTTTACTCCAGTGTCAGGAACCTGTATCGTCCCATTCACCATCTCCACCTCATGTTGCGTCACTGGACACGCCAACCGGGTCTCCCAGCCAATCACAAACTTGCACAATGTTTCATCAACACTGTTCACACAGAAACGGAAAGAGTTAAGAGTCTGACGGTGACAGACTGCATAGTTTAGAAAGCCACATTTAGGCTTTCTGGCTGGAGCGGTCATCCCCTAACCAGAACGGTTGGCGGTTTGATTTGATTCCCGTTCTCCTCCGTCCACATACTGAACTGTCCCAAGTTGCCCCCCCATGGTTAGAGCAGTGCCCTGCAGGGACAGCGCATCGGTGTGTGTGTGTGTGTGTGTGTGTGTGTGTGTGAGTTGGGGTTGCAGATGGCTGCGTTTGTAACATACTTGGCCAATAAACATGATAAAATGAAGCAGAATTTGAACATGGAAAATAAACAGCACCACATAAAATTATCAAGCTCTTCAATGACTCACCTGGGAAGCCCGTAAAGCAACAGGACGAGTCACATACGCAGGTGCAGTTAAGGCTGATTCCGACGGAGCACGTTCTGTGTAACATTTCTAATGCAACGGATAGAACTCCATTCAATCAAATGTGTCACTGACATGTGTTGTTGTTGGCCACACTACTGCTATCGGCCTGCTGAAGACCGTCCCCTGTCCTTCCAGCTCACCAGGAGCTGATGACTGACAGATGCTCTGATATCTTGCTTTCAGTCAGGCTGTGGTTATGTTGCTGAGTGAAGACTGACAAACTGTTGAGGACTTAATTTAGAAACTTAAAAATACCTAGACTGCATTAATCCATGTAATTATTAAGTGCTTGTTCACCTCCATAGGGAGAGGGGGCTAAGGATTAGGGATGGAAGAAAGAGCTAAGAGAGGGACAGATGAGGAGAGAGGAAGTAAGTCTTCAGACAGAGCCCCTGCTGCAGAAGGGGGTGCCCATGCCAAACCTCTTGATTAACATGATAGAGCTTTATTCATTCATTTAGCCCAGTCTAGAACTATATCTAAGTGTTTTGTCTCTTTGGCTAGTGGGGCAACAAATGCAAAACTTGAAACGGTGATTTCATTGCAAGTTACCTGATGAGTGCCGGGTGTCCGACCGTGATGCCACAGCTCAGCTGGATCACGGTTGTTGCCTTCACGCCGTTACCACAGGCATCATCGCCCGCTGAGTAACGAACAGAGATCTTTCCATCTGTAGGAGGAGGAAAGCAGGTTCACACTGTGACCCTGAAATTTTCTCATGTTGAAAATCAAAACACAGCTGTGAGAGTCACAGAAAACAATGACAGACATAAGTGCCAAGATTCTCTGAGGATAAAGCAAGCCAAAATAAATAAATAACTACTTTCATCTAAATGTTGGCTTTTGTTAGAGTCTGTCAAGTTAAGCTGTCGTGGAAGAAGAGTTGTGCAACATCCATTAAAATAGTTCATATAAATGCCTTGTCAATGTTTGTTAAACGCAAGCACCAAATGTTGACCCCTAGATATCATTATTGACCCCTACTAACTCGATGACCCACCAGTGTAGCTCATTTCCTGAGTGTAAACTCGGCCCAGGGTATGGGTCTTTCCTGCTGCTGTGTGTCGACACACAGTCGCTCCTTCTGGACAATCTGGTAAACCATGGATGCCCTGACACAGGTTGATGAAATATCTGAAGAAACATCAACAGTAAGTGGATTTGGAGAACATCTCTGTTTACCAATTTATAACCTGTATGGCTAACTGGGAATGTGTCTGTGCAAATTCTCAGTCATCCAGGTCGCAGTATGCTGAAAAAACTTAGAAGAAAGCATCTGGATGTAGTTTTAGGTAGAACACTCATTTGATATAGTAGAATTTTATCTGCAATGAGTAACAAGTAGAAAACCCTTCCAAAAACACTTCCTGTGTGGATTAGAGCTAATGCATTCCTTTAGCAAAAGCCGTTCTTGCTAACATTATTACTTCTGTTTCTGCTAAGACTCAGATGCATTACTACTGCTAAAATTGAACCATATCCTCTAAGTGCTCCTGCACTTCTGTTCCTTGATTAAAGATAAAAGAGAATGCATAACAAATATGAAAACGAACTGTAGATTTATAAAGAGGAGTTAAACATTGAAATCGCACGCATCCATAACTGAGACCACACTTACGAATCTTCTTGGTGTATAAACTTCCATGGCCTTGTGAGAGAGGACAGGGTTCGCAGGTCGATGGTCTTATGCTGGATGACCAGTTTACACTCCATCTTCTTCGGGGGGCAAACAGCACTGGTCTTCCACTGGAAAGTGACTGAACACCCGGCCGTCTCCGAGAGCAGCTGTGGGGAGCCGTGGCCCGCTGACTGGTCACAGATAAATAATATGGAGGACTGACGTTTACCAGTGGCTAGAAGGAGAAAGATGGGTTGGTTTTCAGCAAAGAGAGACACATAACTCAGAAGGTAATAAAATACAAACCAACAGAGAATTTATATTATAAAGAAGAACTATAAGCCTTTCTGCAGCCAGGTAAAGGTCCCATCAGCTGTGTTAGGTTTCTAGATTGATTGCAGTATTACATTGCCTTAAAGGAACCATTAACAAATTTCACTTGCTCTTAAACGCATCGCCACACAACAATAATGTCATCTAAACTATGACAGAATTAAAAGAAAACATGCCGTTTGTTGTGATCAATGACATTATACTTTACTAAAGTATATTTACTCCAGTGGCTGTGCTGGCAGTGTCAAGAACATGTTGTGCATTTGTAAAGCTTGAGAAAGCGCATCCAAGCTCAACACCACTTTCAAATATTCACCCTATTTCTGAGACAAAACTAGACTTGCAGCACGTCATGGGGCTAAAGCCAAAAACACAATCACTGGCAGCATCATCTTGGCTGGCACAGCTCTGGTCACAGAAAGAGGGTTACTCAACTCTTACCATGTTCTTTGGCCTCTGAAATAAAAAGCTGTCTGAGCAATGGTGATTGTCATCTGTCAGAGCAAGTTATTCATTTGATAAAGAACACCAAGAGGTCACAAAACACATCTGAGGAGTCGTGAAATCATTAACAGAAGAGGAACAAAAATTACACAGATTTTCCTAAAATCCTCCACTCCAATCCATCTGTCTAAACAGCTGACACAAAACAATAAGTAAAGGTAGTCAGGGGCTGCAACACTTAGTCAATTAACTGATTAGATTAATTAAAATTATTCGTTAACGGATCATTCATTTGTTAAAGTAAACATGCCAAACATTTGATGTTCTCTGGTCTGTTTTGTGGTGTTTTCTAATCAGCAGATTAACTAATAATGAAGATAATTGCTAGCTGCATCCTGAAGGTAACATTCATTTTTGGAGCTATACACTATGCAACCTACTGTATAACGAGGGGTGCACATGGGCTCTGCCTGTCTATAAAGGGTCACAATCCAATGTGGAAAGAAACCAGTGGGCTAGATTAAGCGCAAGTGTCATATGTGCACACTGGTGTTATGACAGTGAGGCAAACTAGTCATTTTATCTTAACAAAACAGAGACATCATCTTTGAACCTTCTTCAGCTTTGCTCATTTCTTTATCCACCCCACAGCTTCAAAATCAACTTTTCAAACCATGACTGATGATGATCTCAGTGTGAGTGGAGTTCACAGCATTGGATTCACAATAGTCATGTGCTTCATCATGTCACCTGTGCTACAGAATCCCCACTGCCTGTCTGTGTCATAGTTGGCGGTGGTGGCGCACCACTTCTTGCCATCTATCCTTGCATCCGTGGTGCACTCTGTATACGACTTGTTCATGACAATGAAGGGGAACACACATACGTCTCCCTCAGTGGTCACTAAAACACACAGACATGTTAACGGTTAAAATCTATAAAGATCTTATTCAAATTAAGCTTCAATCACCGACCTAAAGGTAGGTAGTAACCCGAGTGTGGATCTTCTCCCTTGAAAAAATGATCATTGGTATATGAAAATAAGTTCATACCATATATGGGTTGACCTTAAGAAATCTTGGCTCCTAACTGAATAAACTGACCATGGTGGGTTTTGTCTTGCTCCAACAGCTCAAGTTAAGTTTTAAACCACTTAAAGACTTAAAAACCTTTGCTTTTCTCCTCAGCAATCAAAGGAAGCTATCCTCAGGTGATTACATAATTACATAGCACCGTTGTTCAGTGCCATTTTTGCTTCAGCCATCAATTTGTCCTTGTTACATTTAGATGTTCGGATGGGGGCTTTTTTAAAATTTGAGCTTGTTTAGTTCTACGCTTCATGTCTTAACATCTTGGACCACATTGGGAAATAAGTACAATCACTTTAAAATGTCATGCATCAGGTATCTGAGCCTTTTGAGGGGGTTGTAAACAGGTATAACAGAGTTACCTGGTGTGCAGAGATCTCCCCCACCATACTTCATCAGTATAGCCTGTTCTTCGTGTTTGTAGTCCATTGTCATGGCCTTGCTGATGCCAAATGACTTATCTGAACCAGATCCAGACACCTGGCAAACTGCGCTCTCCTTACAAGTTGCCCTTACCACTGAGCTGCAGACGTTGATGTGGTAGGTGCTGGACGGCCCTTGTACCTGACACACAAATACTTGACTTTAGTAAAACTGGTAACCCCGAGTGGCAGAGGCACCGTCCAGAGGATCATGGGAAAAATACTCGAATAATCGGATTTACTAAATTCTCTGACATCTACCTTGAAAGACAAAAATATCAGAACTATAATAACAAAATGAAGTCACAAATTGAAAACTGGGATGTGCTCTTGGTGGACCTGAAGAATACGCTCACCTGCACTTCACCAGAGAGGGTCGACAGGTCAAAGGTGAACTGCAGCTGGGAGTCAGTGAGCTTGCAACCGCTGGTTTGGGTGGCATCTGAACAGACTAGAGGGGTGGCCCACTCAAACAAATAGAGGCATTCCTAAAAAAGTACTAGGGGGCTGGCCCACTAAAACAAATAGAGGCATGCCTGCCGTCTCAGCATTTGTGGAGAGCCCTGGACAGAGATGTTCAATAAGAAAACAGGGTGAACAACATATTCATGTGTAAATATCTTAAAGAGCACACAAGTGTTGACTGACCAGCTCGAGGCCTCTCTGGCAGGTAAAGATAATGGTTGACGTGTAGTTCTGTGCAGGATCAGCTGCGCACTTGGTGGAGCTCTTGTAGGTGATTGACACCTCACCTGTAGCAGAGCTGATCTCAGGACCGCTGGTACTCTGTCCAATGTTCTTTAAGAGACAAAAAGAGGGAGAATGGAGAAAAGGATGGAAGCTGCAAGAGGAACAAAAATCTGAAACGCAAAAATAAAGACCAGCATCGTACAAAAAGAAAAAGACAGAAGAGACGGAACAAACGCTTCTGATCCCAGTTGGTTGTCCACCATGATTTACATCCAATTTTTAACAACAACTCTGAGCAGGTCACTTGTTGGAAGTTCTCATTTTGAAAATACAATTGGCCACAAACACAAAAATCAGTAAAGACAGAATGTTCAAGCATGTTCAAATGCTGTGAGGATTTTTTGTGAGCAGCTTAGCTTCATCTCTACACAAAATCTTGGTTTCCTACAATAATATCTGGAACTGCAACAACACACAAAATAGTGACACTGAAAAGGTGGCATGCCAACCTGCTGCTTATTCATCATATTAACCAGTGCCCCTGGATCGCATTGCTCTGGTTTTCACAATAAGGCATCCAACTATATGAAAGTCAGGTCTGAGTAATCAGCCCTTCATCTACCATGCCTGGAAACAGTCTTACCACTGGTGGTCCATCATCAGGATCCATACAGACAGCAGCTCCAGGGGGGCAGTTGACCCCAGGGATGGGGTTTAGAGGCAGACACAGGTTGATGTAGAAGTCTGGAGATCCATCATTCTGCTCCACTTCCTCGTCTGGAAGGACACAATTGGAGGACAGATACAGACAAATGGCAACAGTAAATCCAGATAAATGTTGTGGCCAATAAATGATGCACAAGACTTAAAATCTGCATCTCTGCATGGTGAAATCACAAGACATCTGTATTTTAGTGTTCAGAGGTGAAAACCTTGGCCCACTGACCGGTTGCGGTGTAGTATCCACTGACATGAATCAGAGGAGTCAGGTCTATCAGAACAGAGCCGCTCTGGACTGAACACTTCACCTGAAAGATGAAATGAAAATGAACAAAGAACAAGACTAAGCCAGAACACACTGATCACTAATAGTGTGTAGACTTCAAAGAACCAAATTCAAAGTAAATGAACAAACATTTTATACTGTAATGTCATTACTCTTATTGGCTGTATAGTGGTTTCTTCTAACACTGTATTTGGTCTTCTAAAGGTTCAAGAGTTATTCTAGAACAAGTGAATTCCCAGTTACACACACACACACACACAGTACACATATAATAAATACAGCTGGGATCAGTTTTGTGCAATTCATAGTTGTTTTAATTCACATTCCTTTTCAGTTGCTTCTTATTCTTAGCTGTGTTGGATGATCACACCTTCTCTAGCCGACTCTGTGAAACAGGCTGGCGCTTAAAAGAGAGTCACTGCACTTTGACCTATCACACTGACAAACACACAAACATACTTACAGGCTGTTCACAGACCAGGGCTGTGTGGAATGAGAAGTAGTGTGTGCAGGTTTCAGCGTAGGAGACAATGAAGACTGGCTCTGGGGAGGTTGAGCCTATGCTTGGTGGCCTTCAGAAAGACACCATAAATATTCAGAATGTCACTGAAAACGTATATTTCTGTGACAAATACATTATCGGTGTTTTGCAAATCATCGGCTTCCTGTACGTTCCAAATGAGCAACATCTGAAGCAACTGTTTTTAGTAAAGACATTGAATCAAAGTTAAAATAAAAGCATTTGGCTGATTCATCTGAGCTGCTGCCAAATTCTTCAGGGTACAAGACATACACACAGCTACAGTCAAGATGTTGCCTTCCCTCAGGAAGGTAACACAAATCTGAGTATGTACCCTAGACTGTATATAAAGATGGAGACCATGACAGCTCCCAGAAGTGAAGCCACTACGACTCCATTGGTCATAAACCCCATGGCCTCCATGTTCATGGATGGCACATGAGCCAAAATAAAAACTGAAAGTGGAAAACAGACCTTTCCCAGGAGTGATTTAATTATCTAATGATATAAAAGGGGTGTATTTCAGATTATTTGACATCTTTGATTAGCGGTCTAATACCGTGGCTCCATCTCTGGTTGCTACTGCACAAAATCTGGTTCTAAAATGCATCACAGCAGCAAGAAGGCAACCCCCCGTATTGGTGAAATTTTGGCTTCACTGTTACACAGTGGCAGGAAGTGGTGATGCAACATCCATTTTTTATATCCAGTATATACAGAGACACTGATCATCTAATATAAAACCCCAACGGAAGGCTTTAGTTATTGTCAAAATATAGATACGAGTTTAGCAATTTGCAGCTTTGCATTCACTGATTTATTGACTGGCATTATTCTGCAGTGGAGTTTAAGTGTTCAGCTGTCTGCACCTGAACACGCATCAATGTTCAACCTCCTCTGAAGAGGGCACGGGACCTCCACTGTGTCAACTGCACAATTAGATAGACCCGCTTAATTTAATGAGCAGCTGCAGAAAAAAAAAAAAAAAAAAAAAAAGAAAACAGTAGTGATAGAAACATTAAAGCTAAGAAGAAAATAAACAGGAGCAGAGAAAGAAGGGAAAGTACCTGCAGACGAAGTCGATGATGGTGGTGTGCTGGAGTGCAGGGTTTGCTGGGCAGGGACTTCCTCCTTCGTACGTCAGCTCCACAACATGATTCATGTAGGAGAGATTTCTGCTCACCTGGCCACCGCTCGCCACCATGTTGTTGTGCGTTATACACACAGCTACAACAAATGTTTAGTATTCAACAACTGTAGTCAACTGCACCAAGTTTAACATAATAGTATTTTAAATTTACAACATAGCCATAAATGATACTGCAACAGCTTTATACTGAGATTAAATCTAGAATTTCAAAAGACAGTTACACACCGGTTTTTGACCCTTTTTGTCGGTTTATAAGTGAATGTGATTTATCTCAGATTTTAACGGCACTGGCTGAACGGTTAGCAAGCAATCCAGCCGTGAATCCAGGGTTTACTTTTTAACCCTCCTGTTATGTTGCAGGTCAAATTGAACCACGAACGTAACTGCTGAGCAGGCATCACCTGAGAAATGAACATAACAGGAGGGTTCCCTCCTGTTATGTTCATTTCTTCATATCAAATATTTGTCTCATTTAAAGCAGTTATGTTCGTGGGTCAATTTGACCCGCAACATAACAGGAGGGTTAATAATTCATGGTTTTTCAACATTACATAATATGTCAGTTAATTTTTTTTTTCTCCATTTTCTAATGATCTACAGGTCTTTCTATAATGAAAAAACATCTGGCACGTGAATGCCAGTGTCTACCACTGTGTAATTTGATGTTAAGAAATTTGTAATCTACAATCCCATAACTATAATTACAAATTCAGACCGCCTTCTTCGAGTGCCCTCAAGTTTACTGTGCAATGTTTATCTCAGCCCTGGTAAAAGAGCAGTCAATCATTTGTGAAGTACTAGGATTTCAGGTGTCTCATTACAATACAATCCCTGTGTTGCTCTGTACTGCAGTTAAACAGTGGTGAGGGACATCCTCAGTGTTGCATAACACCATCAGAATGTCTGAGGGGACAAATCAGTCACCAGGAGAGAAGTGAATGAATTCTTAATAAATCCTGTTCTGTATCTGATGTTACAAAGTCTGATTTGCTCCAAGCTAAATGATATGTTTGACACCTGCAGAGCTCATCTTATAAGGAAATACAGTTAACTTGAAAACGTGTGTGTGTTACACCTGTAACTCTGACAGAGCAGTCTCCATGAGAGGGAACGGCTCCTGTGTAGTTGTGACTGGCTGAAGGCTGATCTATTTGCCTCAACTAAGATTTTTTTTTTGTTTTTTGGTATGCATGTTGATGACAAACAAAATATAAGGAAATGACTCTGAGTTATTGAAAATTAAACTATCTGCTGGATTTCCAAGACTATTGTGTCCAATCAACAATATCCTTATCAAGATACGTGACAATTTTATGAACAGGATAGAAAGCAGAGTCAGCTTACATCTCCTGTTTCTGCTATTTAAACAATGACACATAAAAGTTGGATAGTTTAGAATATGTCCTGCATTTCTTTTTCTCACTTTTTGATTTAGAGGCAATATCGCAGTTCTGGGTTGCAAGCGAGAGCAGACGTCTTTACTGCTCCTCTTGTCTGTTCTACGATTTTTCACATCTTCTACATTTTCAAGCCTTTGAACAAATTCTACAACTATTAAAATGCCTCCAAGAGGGAAAAGAGCTAATAAATCAGAAGCAAACGAGGATGCTGAAGCAGAAGAGGATTATATTTCAGCGGCGCAAGTAACAGATGTTGAGTCAGCAGAAGCAAATGTACACCGCACTGTTGAGCCAACAACAAGACAACTTCAAAGGTTTTGTGCAACTACTTATGGAGACAAATAACAAGAGACTCGACGACATGACCAGAGAAATACAGGAGATAAAAACGAGTTTGCAGTTTACCCAGCGAGATGTGGATGTGATTAAAGCAGCCATGGGTGAACAGAAAATACAAACCAAGGAAACAAGGGATGATGTCTACAAAACTTGTGAGAGTCTAATAGCCATAACGGATAAAATGTAGCATTTGGAAGTACAGTCCAAGCGAAAAAACCTGATCTTTTAGAGAATCAAGGAGTCAGCTGGAGAAAGCTGGACGGAAGCGGAAAGTAAGAAATATTAAAGGAGAAACTACAAATTCATCAAGAAATTGAGATAGAGCGGGCTCACAGAGTCGGGAAACCTTCTGATCGGGGACCGAGGGCGGTGATGGTAAAGTTGATGAAAGAGAAGGATAAGGCACACATACTGCAACAAGCAAAGAAGCTTAAAGGATCTAATATTTATATAAATGAAGATTACACCGAGTCTGTGAGGAAGAGAAGAAGGGAGTTGATGCCGAAGTTAAGGGAGGCCAGGGCGAAGGGAGACATTGCGTTCCTGCGGTATGACCGACTAGTGACCCGTCCT